CCCCCCCCCCAACTAATCTGACAGTCCCGGCGAAGGCCGAGCCCGGAGCACCACCCACGTCAACCCCACTCTTCTCTATCTCTCTCTCTTTGCAAACACCAAAGACCTTTGCCACTCACACTTCTTATTCCCACTGCTGCACTCCACACGAGCCATCAGGGTTGCTGCTTGCCGTCGAAGCGGGTCTAGCGCCATGAAGAAACCTAGTAGTGGATTGGTGATGACCATTGCCTCAGATGATGAGGTGGAGCCAGAGGCAGACACCGACGATGACAGTGAGAGCGAGGCCCCGGCAGCAGTCGTCAAGCCCGCCGCCGCTCCTCTGACCAAGGCAGGGAAGAAGCGGCAGCGGCAGAAGGCGGCGTCCGCGACCGGGGCTGGGCGGAAGGAGGGCGAAGGCACGGTGGACCCGAGTTTCTCGTTTGATGTCGACAGCGGCAACCTCGGCATTGCCGAGAGGCAGGCCGTCAACGGCTGGGACTTCAAGAGTGAGTGCAGTGGTACATAACAGCAGTGCTTTGAAGTGTGCTGTAGTGCTGCTGTCGAGGTGCGTTCGTAGTCACCAGGTAGAGGAGGCTTGTGTTGCCTCTGCTGTTGTTCCAGCATCGGAGATGACGTTACTCGGTTGTGCTGTTTACCTATTGTTTTCGCGCTCCGCTCTCACGCTGCTCCAGTTTGGTTGTTCACCTCCCTGCTGTCCTAGACTAAATAAACTACAATTGTATTAATAGTGCTTTTCCGCTGGAACAGGAACTTGCGAGTTCAAGGCTTTCATGTAGACCGTTTACATTTATGGGTTGCGAACGACTGGAGAGTTCATGTCTTTTTCGATCTACACCCCTGCTGTGCAACATTGATTCTCGTCAAGATATCTACAGCTCGTTTCTCTCCATATGAAACGTGATTGGTGAAGGCGCGCACTTTCTCTGAACATGAAGAAACGCAGTCGGTTTGTTTTACACCAGTTTGTCGCAACCCAGAGTTTCTTCGCATACTGCAGACATCAGTCCAAGGCCGGGATGCAGGTATTTTGTCACGGCTGCGTGATCAAGTCGGTCGTGCAGCAGAGCAGTGTCACGCCTACCATGTTGGCAGAAACAAGGCTGGTCTTGCCAAACGATCCATTTCTTACAAGCTGTACGATGCCGCCGGCGCCACCATGACTCGGGGCACATGACAGCATGGAGCAGTCCGCACGTCCGCACAACCGCCACATATCTACAGCAGCAAGCGCCTGCATGTCTATCTTGGTTTTCTTTAGGGTAGCTCCAGTCCAGTCCGAATCGTGTGCGGACTCTTGTGACGCGAATCCGACTTGAGTTAGACTTCAGGAAACGCTTTTGGAAATCCGACATGCAGGCATTCCCTGGTTCGCCGAAGATGAGACCTGCCCAATTCCACCGCTCGCTTGGAGACGTGGCAGTCAAGAACATGAAGCTTTAAAATTATCGAAATACGAGAGAAATGACAACCTGAACCCGACACTATGCTAAAAGCTGAACCATGACCATGTAATGATGAGCGACAGAAGAACTACGAACCCCAGGAACGCTCCAAGCAGAGATTCTTGCACATGTGTACGCTCTTGCTCCATACCCTATGGTCTCTGCATACCCTATCGTCTCTGACTAGTATCAGTGGGGCAGGCAGCGTTGATAGTGATGCTTCCGTCAACCCACTTAGCATCCGAAATAGACGCCGGCCTTTTTTGTCTGTCCGCCGAATCAGACTTACCTACATCTGACCTGTATGACTGGGGCAGGCAGGGCTATTGGTGCTTCCTCTAACGCACTTCGGGGCAGGCAGCGCCATTGATGCTTACTCTAACAAACACACTCGGGTCCGAAACGTCGTCCTGTCTGTCCGCCAAGCCAGGCGCTATCGAGAAGCTTGCCATGGAGGACCCGAGGCGAGCGAGGACGGGACAGGTCCTCGAAGACCGGATTGCCGCAAAGAGGTCGGAGCTGCGCAAGGGCAAGCGGAAGGCCAAAGATATGGCCAAGGCTAAGGCCGCCGCTGCAGCCGAGACGCAAGAGCATGATGAGGCGGAAGGTGAAGGAGAGGCGACGGCTTCATCAGGCCTGGATAAGATGGACGAGGACGAGGAGGAAGATGAGGCTGCTTCGGCGAATGGCGATGGCGGCGCTGGCTCCAAGGAGGGAGAAGGTGTAGAGGAGGAGGAGGAGGAATCTGACGAGGACGGTTCAGGGGGCGATGAGGAGCAGGAGGGGGGCCTTGAGGAGGATAACTTGCGCGAGCTTTCAGCCGGGTCACGCGGAAAGGTGAGACTTGGGGTTGTAGGACAAGTGAATTCTCCCGCGCTTGTTTTTTGCGGGGTGGTGGATATCATCGAGCGGCAGAGTGGTTTCAGTCATTTCCTCTGGATATGGACATCCCCCCTCCCCCGCCATTGTAGTGTTGATCGTATTATCAAGTTTGGAGCCAAGTAGTGCTTGCGGTGGTTGTTCTCCACCTGCCAAACCCGACTCCCCCCTCCCCTGGGTGATGTGAGAGCCTGGTCAGGTGAGAACCCGGCGTGCTCCGTCCCGACTTTGTAGGGATGCGAGGTCAATGGTCTCACGACTACGGCATGCACGACTATGAGTACACCCCTCCCCCCCCCTCCCCATAGTTTGTTGTCCAACGGTTGAAATGGAACCCACGTTTTGCTGCCCCTAACCTCCCATTCCATCGCTGCTGTAATTTTGCGCTTTTGTCCCTTCTTGCTTCACTCTCCCGAACCGAAGCGTCTCGAGGCCGCGAAACGAAAAGAAGACCGTCTTTCAGCCGCAGCCGCAGCAGCCGCCGCCGGCAACGACAAGGGCCAAAGCGATAACGACGAAAGCGATGGCGATGAGGCCAGCGAAGAGGAGCTCGACGAGGACCAGCTGGAAGCGAAGAAAGCGGCGGAATACTTCGAGGACGGGGACGATGGAGACTTGTCCCGGGGGAGCGGCGATGCGTCCTCGGGGGGCGTGCCGTTCCAGCAGCTGAACATCTCTCGGCCGCTGCTTAGAGCGGTCGAGGCCATGGGGTACGTCACCCCGACGTCCGTGCAGCAGCGAGCGGTGCCATTCGCTTTGGCGGGAAGGTACGTACGCACGGGCGTTTCTTGGATGTTTTGGGGTTGGGGATGGATTGTACCCTGGTTGAGGTTGGTGGATATTCAGCCACAGGTCTTGTTTTGCATGTTTGGAGATATGCGGCGGTGGGCCTAGGGTGTGGGAGGGGTAAACCGGTGAGGTTGGTGCATAGTAGGCCAAACGTGTTTCTTTTGGGTGGTTGGAAACAAAGGAGTTTGGCGGAGGTGGGACGGGCAAACCGATGAGGTTGGTGCGTGTTTGGAAATAAAAGGGTTTGAAGGAGGTAATAGGACGCCGATTGCTGCTTGAATACTGTACAAATGATCATCAGGCAGCATCTGTCGATGGTTGCTACGGTTTTGTTTTGGTCGTGGTTGGTGTGATGACGCCAGTCTTTCGCGACTCTCTCGCGAAAACCAACACTATGCTGCCGTGGATTCCGTACGTTTTAAGCAGAAGGTTCCCGTGTAGCCTTCCTCCTCTCTGACCCCAGCTGAGATGTCCGAAATCGCCGAAATGTGTGTAGACTGGCGCCAGAGTAAATAGGACGAACACACACACACACACACACACACCTGCCGCTAAAATTGTCCCTTCTACGCTGCGTTAATTCTTCGCCCCTCTGTATCTCTGTATTCTCTCTCGTGGAATTACTTGGGCGGGTCGACAGGGACGTGTGTGCGAGCGCGACGACGGGGAGCGGCAAGACCGCGGCGTTCCTCCTCCCCATCCTGGAGAGACTGCTCTACCGCCCCAAGAAGGTGGCCGTTACGCGAGTCATGATCATAACGCCAACCAGGTGAGATGCAGTACTGTACGAAACCCCGACCGCACACGGCGATGTATCATGGGATGTATCGATGTGAGGCACTCATGTAGCTGTCCCTCGGGATGGTCATACCGCCGACCGGGTGAGCTACATCAGTGCGGGCCCCAGATGTGCAAAATGCCGTCACAAGGAATAGGCTCAACTGCCCGTTGACGAAAAAGAAGAAAGGTTAGAATCACAGCTGGTCCAGTCGAGGGTCCTACCCTAAACTCTGGACCTCCAAATGATCTCATCAGGAGTATAAGCACACAAGCACCCGCTGTACTCGATGGCGGTGGAGATGAAATCAGAACTTGATCCCGAAATCGATTGCGTTTCTTGTCCCTGGCTCCTTTGTAAAACCTCAAACGCGCCCGGCGACGTGCGTAGCGCCCCTGAGCCACTCGCGTTTAGTAGGTGCTCTTGTTGTGGCCCACAAATGCGGTCTAGTTCTGTACTACGAAGTAGTATTGTACCAAGCTGTCCTGGTTTCTTCGGCACGACTTTCGCTGATCCGTTCCTTTGGCGGTTTTGCCATAGATGCAAGATTACAGCGAGATTGGGTATGCCTGAGCCACCGCGATCTGAAAAGAAATGCTCATGGACATGAAGGAATTCGGGCAGAGAGTTGTGTGGCGGAAGGTAGTGCCGTCGTTTGTTGTTGCTGGAATGAAGACGAAACCTTTCGTGAGCGCCATCATTTGAAGGTGCGCTGATGCTTATGAAAAGACTACAATTCCCTGACCAGTACGGCAGTACCTGTTGTCCAGATTGGCTCGTGCATTGATACTGTTGCTGGAATGAAGACGAAACCTTTCGTGAGCGCTGTCATTTGGCGGTGCGCTGATGCTTACGAAAAGACTACAATTCCCTGACCAGTACGGCAGTACCTGTTGTCCAGATTGGCTCGTGCATTGATACTGTTGCTGGAATGAAGACGAAACCTTTCGTGAGCGCTGTCATTTGGCGGTGCGCTGATGCTTACGAAAAGACTACAATTCCCTGACCAGTACAGGACTATTTGTCAAGATTTTTTTCATGAAGGAAACTAGTCCACTCTCGTATCCCTCTGCCTGTCTGTCTCGCTCTATATATCCATCTATCTATCTATCTATGTGTGTATGTTTTTTCATCGACCGCGCTTGCAGGCTGACCAATCAAAATACGTGAATGAGTCTCATTCCAACTAAGTCGGAAAAACACTATTGAACCCGTGAGGTGGGGCTGCGGGGGAGGACAGGCTGTGTCTGGATGCATCGCTTGTTTTTTTTTTCTGTGGTCGCCTGATGTCGTGCTGTCGTTGCTTTACCATGCGAGGAAAGCACTGTTGCTCCTTCTGGGTGAATTGTCCATTGCTACTGTTGCTGGCTGGAATGAAGACGAAACCTTTCGTGAGTGCCATCATCTGATGGTGCGCTGATGCTTACGAAAAGACTACAATTCCCTGACCAGCTACATAGCTCACCTGTTGATGACTTAACTTCCAATGTATTTGAATGCGGAGACTGTACCCTATCACCCTGTTGTCTAGGCTCATCCGCGACCCCTCTGGAGGAGGATACCCAACGACTAGGAAGAGTGTGCGCGGTGGTTGTCCGGCTTAAGGCTGTCGTTCGTACCGCATCAATGGTACAATGTAGAGCAGGCCGGTGAGCGCGGTGGATAGTGCTCGGGAAGCAAAGCACACCCATATGCGTCGTCCCTTCTTGTATTTATCCGCCAACAAGAACTTTCTATCTCTACAAAAACCCCTCCGCTACGTGGGTGTTTTTGCACCCAAAACATGCTTGGCTTACCGTTACCTGGACCCAAAAAGAGAGAAGTAACCAGAAACGGGTATACCCGGGTGGATTATCACCATTTCAGGGTACACTTGGAAATCAACACGACACCAATCTCCGACAGCCTACGCCGTAGATCGCGGCGAAACCAATAAACCGCTGTGTCCTGTGCCTCGGATGCATGATGCATGAAGCAGGTCGTGCCCGTTTTGTCTCTCTGTGCCTCTCTCTCTCTCTGTGCTTTTACTGATCAGCACCACACACACACACACCGAACGAACTCGCGCGTCAAGCGAGTCCGACCCGTTGTCGAGAGGGGCCGGTATCGTATGGAGAGGCGGTGCCCATCAACGAGCGAGCGTTGTTGGTTTGGTTGCGGGTATGTGTACGTGCCGTACACGTTTTTTCCTGAGGGTTTTATGCTACAATCGTCGGGCGCCGGAATTATGTGACCATTCATTTCCGCGCACAATAGTAACCAGTATCGGCTACACTGGAGGGTCCACATGCGAGCGCCGGTTGTACCCGGTGGAGGTTTCTCCAACAGTGGGTACGACGGTGTTTCGGCCAATCAGCTGGCTGTCTGGGGGTGTTTATATGTCAAGTTCTAAGTGTACCCTAAAATGGTGATAAACCACCCGGGTGTACTCGTTTCTGGTTTTTGGTCCCAAAAAAACACCCGCCGGTATTGCTGGCGAAATCAAAGCCACACCCTTTTTTTCCCTCTTGTATTTTGCTTTTTGTTGCGTCCGGCAGATTGGTTTGTACATTTCCGAGGTGTTTTTCGAGGTCTAGTCTATTTCGTCAGAAATGGTCGGCCGATGCCCAACGAAGGTGTTTTGGGGTGTATTTTTTGTATTTTGCGTCATATCAGCACGAGAAGAAAGGTTGGATGCTTGCTCCTCGAAAACTTAGCCCTTTTTTTTTTTCTGGCGGGCGTTGATGGATCCTTGTCCTCTCAAGTGTTTGCACCCGCCCTCGCTGCGTCCTGCGTACGTTCGAAATCGTCAATCTTGTTCTTCTTGTCTCAGGGAGCTCGGCGTCCAGATCCACAGCATGTGTCGCAGCCTGTCGCAGTTCACGGACATTGCCTCCGCGCTGGTTGTGGGAGGCAACAAGAACCTCAAGGCGCAGGTGTGTTTCTATTGGGGAAAAAAACGGGTTTTCTGTAGGAACCGGGTTTTCCAGATAGGAAGGTGCGTTTGTGGAGAAGAGGGCGGATTATAGAGCCGAGTTTCGTCATTGACCTGCTGTGTTTTGGTTGCGCAGCATATGGTTCCTGTTCTTTGGTGTGTTCGCGTCCGAGGTGCCGTTGTCCCCGTGTTGCCTGCACGCGGCGTTTGTCTCTCTTTAATTTTGGTTCTCTGATGGTTCTGTTTTGGTTGGTTTCGTTTCGTTCGTTCCCACTTTTGACGGGTGCAATATCCCGACATCGCGGCTGACAAATGTGCGGTGCGATGACCGAGACCGTTGGCATGCGCAAGCTAGGACGGGATTTACTCGTAATAGTTGGCCAACTCCTTGTTCACACGCCTCAGGCACCAAGCGCAATAGGTGATTCTCTCCCGCCCCCCTTCATACGGTGCTCTCTCTCTCGGTCTCCTCTGTCACTCTCTCTGACTCTCCCTCTGACTCCTCTGTCTATCCCTTTCTCGTAAAGGAAGCGGAGCTGCGAGCAAGGCCTGACATCGTGATCTGTACACCTGGCCGTATGGTGGACCACCTTACCAACTCGGCTTCGGTGCACATGGATGATGTTGAGATACTAGTCCTGGACGAGGTAAATGTCTAGGCCTGTTTCGTTGGGGGGGGGGGGGGGG